TCACGTCATTACCTTCAGGAACTGTGGGTACACAAAGGTCCTCTGCCAGAAGTGCAGTGCTATGAAACCTCCACTATACCAACTCCAACAACTCTCTAATACAGGGGAATGGGACAATGATCTAGACATGTTAGATTAATAGATACCCAGGAGCCATTCTTCCCTGCCTGTGTTGCTGATTTTCTCAACAGTGAGCCATAGCAAGTATTGCAAAGTAAATACTGCTCTCTTACTATATTTTGCCTAATATTGAGGGTCACAGCTCTTATAACCTGAGCAAAGACTTAATATTCAGAACATTCAGAAGGGTTTTTTTGATGATGAACAAGGAATGAAGCAATGAAACAGCCATAAAGCAATTTCGGTGGGAGAAACAAAAGAGAAAAAAAGAGATAGATAGGAAGTTAATAACATTCCAAAAACATTGTTACTCAATAACAAAGATTAAAAGGGCAGAGAAAGATCACTTCTCCCTTTTGCAAACGTTGTTTCCCTAGGCAACCATTTTTGAAGTTGTCTGTGAAATGGGTTCCCATGTTTAGGGGAAAGAAGTAATACTTTCACCAGGAGTACAAATAAATGTTTTTTCTTCTTGCTAGAATTCTCTTCTCCTTCAGCCATGAATAAGCATTTGTGATTGGTGTTAATGGATGAATTATTTACAGTGAAGAGTAACAGATTTACCACTACAAAAAAAATATCACTAGAAAATTGTGCAGCTTCTTTCACTTGGAAGGCAGGTGGTAACTGCACACACACAGAAATTTTTTCAAGAGAAAGTGAAAATAATCCACTGTAGGACATGAATTTTCACACTGTAACACGAACTGCCCTCTTTCTGAAGGCACTTACTCCATCAGATTTTGCAGCCCAACACTCACCACTCAGGTACACAACATGCAGTTTCTGACACACTCATCTTTTTTGTGGAAGGAGCCAAAACTTGTCTGAAGATGCTCTTCAGTCATTAAAGAAAACCAGATTTTTGTACTATGGACTGTAAAGAAGATGCATTGCTGAACCCACTGAAGCCCATGCCATTATCACCACTGAGGCTCTACAGGTACTACAGGTACACTGACACAAAAGGCCACATCAAATAAAGGATCTATATCACAGAATACCCTCTCTCCCTCTGTGGTCCATGGCAGTTATTTTGAAAGCAGTATTAAAAAATAAAGGTAGTTTATAATGACATCTCCAGTACATTCTCACATCTATTAAGCTGCCTGCAGCTGAAAAGCTTCTGAGCTAAATGTGGTTTCTTGTTTAATAGCTTCTGGAAATTCTGGAGACCTCTTAATGTGCAGACCTGGAACAAAAGGTCTTACTTTTTTTGAACTTACTCCAGTTTATATCTGTGAAACAAAGTTGCTAACAAACAATGAAAGCATACATCTGGCCACATTACATTGGATCAAATTAACATTTAGCCCTGTGCCTAAAAATCCTGGATCCTGGTGATGTCCATACTCCTCACAAGCAAGGTATATCTCAAAGCCCATGATTCAAATATGGAACAGTAACACTGAAAACTTGAATGTAATAAAATATCAAGCAATTTTTACTGAAAACAAAACAAAACAAAACAAAACAAATCTTCCCCCCTCCCCCGCCTTTGGTCTGATTCCTGGCGCCGCTGGTTGAACAAGGAACCACAAGCATAGCGTATTTACAGCAAGCTTTCCCAATTCCATTGCAAGAGCCAAGAACCTTTTCTGTAAACTGAGGCTTCAATCTACCTCACACATTACATATTGCAGCTATATGCCTTTAATAAAGCTTTACATTCACATTTTGATTTTTCTCATTACACTGTTTATATTACCCTGCATTAATTTCCTCTTTGTAAAATCCCCTGAACTGCTCATAAAACTGCCATAAAAAGAAGTAAAATGATACAGCTCGGAGATCAAGGAAGAGAAATAGGAATATTTTTCACTGGAGACATAAATAACAGGGAAAAATAAGGGATGACCGACTCCTGTAGAAATCTTGTCAGCAGATTAAATTTTGGGCTCTTTCATCTCAGAATTTGTCCCAAAATGGTAGATGATAGTGTTTAAGACAATCATATTTCAGAAGGCATTTCTGAGCACAGAAATACAGATGCACATAATCCTCATGACGAATAGGAAAACGATAAACAACCAAATTTTGGTAAGCATCAAATTCATGTTTGAAAATCAAGTCAGACATCCTGAGTAGTCTTGACAGCCCCAAAGGTGTATTCCTATGTACCCTGACACTAGGGCAGAATCACTCACCTGGAAAATGAGGCAAGGTGTTAGTAAATAACATTTTGAAAAATAACTGCTACAATAAAAAAAAAAAAAAAGAAAGAAAAAGAAAAAAACTTAAAACTTAGATTTATTATAAAGGAATAAACACACAGACCAGAGAGACAACTGTGCTCATACAGCTATTCCATATAGATATTTATTCGTAAATCCCTATTTTCATAAATCTTCTTGAGTTTAAAAAAAAAAAAAAAAAGAAAAGAAAAAAGAAATAAAAGAAGAAAGCTAAAAGGCTTAGACAAGCCCACTTGGCAGGAGCTACTATAAATATTGCAAAGTTTCCATTTCTTTTTCTTTCAAAAAAAGAAAAGCACAAATATAGCCCTTTTATGTCCCCATTTAAGTAATCACTTCCAGGTTCCATACAGATCCATCCCCATGAGTAAGACTTAAAGTCTGCTATTATGAACAGAAAGGATAAAACTGCCCTTTGGCAGAAGTATTATTTTCATGTAGTTAAGTCTTTTGGATTTCTACCACTTCCCTTGTTGGCTTCCATTCTTTCACCCATCCCTACTTGCATACTGGACCTCAACCTTGCACTGCCAAGCAAACTCCCTCCAAAGAGTACATCAAGGGCAGGGGGAGAAAAAAGTGGTAAAAAAATACCCCAATCAACTTTGCTTTCCAATATTTTGTAACAAACAAGCCACAGAAGAATTTTGAGTCAGCAGAAAACATTAGGCATGTTATTTTTTATGCCCTGGAAGTGTTCTATCTTCTGCCCAGAAGGGAAGCTACACCCACTGGAGCTCCACCTATGCTGCTCTGGCTCAGCTGATTCTCCTGGCGAGTAACCATTGCAATGGGAACACTTAATATCATACCCCAGAAAACTGTTAATCGTAACATGGTAACTGAAAACTCATCATAGAACACAAACCACACAATCTGAAGAGCAGCAGACATTCAAGAGCCAATAATCATCAAAATAAATTACTATCAAAGCTCCAGCTTTTGCCTCTGTGCTGACTTACGCTAAATTAAGCCATTGGATTCCCAAACTGCAAATGTTTTGCAGAAAACAAAATTAACATTAAAAAATTAACTAAGAGTTCACTCCAGATTTGTAGATGTTAATTTCAAAACTAATGATGTTGCACACCTCCACTTTCGAATAATCAATGGGACATACTCTAAGGAGACCCTAGTTTTGGCAAAGCTGCTTCATGAAAATGGGTTCAGGCATCAAAAATAACTTGATTCTTCAGACAAAATATTATCTGAGAATTATAGAAGGGACAACTGGGAGATTAACAGAGCAACATGTTCAACATTTAAGATGTTTGTACAGAAACATCAGAAATAAGGAGAATAAACAGAAAGAACGTTAAACTCTTTAGAATCGACAAAAATTGCCACTAAATCCACCTCACAAAGACTGCAGATAAATCACAAATCTGGAATTACTGTGGAAGGGTGAAATGAATTTTGCTGGTGAAATGATACAGGGTTCAAGAAAAATGGAGAAGGTCCTATATTGTTACCATACACTTGCTCTGAAGTTCAGGAAGAGTCAAGAAGCAGATTACTGAGTATCTCTGAGCAAATATAAAGTGTGAAAAGAGTGAGGTCAATCACATATTCTTGAAAATCTGCTATAGATCACTTATCAGAGACAAGGATGCATTATGCTTATCCCTTAAGTAACTAGAAGCAGCACCCACAATAAAAGAGATGATAGTGTGGGGTCTTCATTGAGAAATACAAGGGTGAGGAGGAAAACAGACAAAAAAGAATATACATATAATCAAACATCATTTTTGAGGAGATTTCTCCGGTGAACTTGACTTAAATCTGAGTAAAAAATGAGATGAGTCAAGAAACACAAGTCAAACTAGTGGTCATAAAATGACATATTATTTATTCTGTAGAGGCAAAAAACCAAGATTGACAGATATATTAAACTTTTCTTAATTTTTTTTTTTTTTAAAAAAATTAAATAACCCAAACCCTAAACCAACCTCCAAAACTGTTACAATAAGGAATGCTGTAGGGCCTCTTTATAATCAGGAAATATAAAAGGAATATTTTTTCTGAGTTCAGAAATAAGAGCTGTGATGAATGATTAGTCATAGTATAGACGAATTACATAAACACATATGGGTAAAATCAGAAAGGCCAAAGCATACAATGGGCTAGAGTCAGCATGGATACAAAAAGACAGTAAAAACATGTTCTCTATAAATGGTATGTTGAAAGAAAATATAAAAACTAAGGTCCTTAGTTAAGTGGGAAAGAAAACAAACATAAGAATAAAGAGTCAGAAGTTGCTTTCTCAAACAGTAAATTTCTTAATCAGTTTAAGTCAGGTCTCAAGAACTAATTGTGACCTGTGTTTTGAACTAAGGAATATGATCAAAAGCTTGGATAAGCAAATGCTATAGAAATTGCAGTTATTTTCAGATTGTTATCTGTATCTAACCTATCATGCCCTATCCCACCAGATTCTTCCTTAAGGGCCCAACAGATGAGGGCAGTGTCCCCAGGTTCCCATCTCATGGAAGATGAGGCAGGACTGTGTGTGTGTGTGTGTGTGTGTGTGTGTGTGTGTATGTGTGTGTGTACAAGGTGAGAAGAGCAGCAGCTGCCTCTTTACAGGGTTATGGGGCTGTCAGAATACAGAATGCATGTCTGAGTGGCAGTCATGCAATATATCTTTAGTAGCACAACTTTTGACCTTCTCTTCAAAACAGGCAACCGGAACACAAGCGGAAATGTAGGTTAGATGGACTTACAGCAAACTGAAAAACTGTCTGCCCAAAGAGTAATTCAGGCTGCTGCAGAAACCAGAAAGGTAGGCTGTAAATGCTTAAGATTTAAAAACCCAATAAATTTTACTAAGTTATCATTGTGGGGTATCTGGGTGGATTACTTCGTTCTACTAGATGCTTGTGAGAACTGGAAATAATTACTGTCCTGATTAAGTGCCAAAGTCCTTGTCCAACTTTGGGCATCACTGAAAAAGCCATAATCACCCACCAGCTCCAAAAGCAAACAGGAAACATGACTCTTAAAAAAAATAAATGCATGTTTTAAGCATAAAAAAGACATACGTAAGCATTTGTCCAATGTACAAAAGGTTGCTATAAAGAAGACAAGAGAGCATCTATTTTAGTTTCTGCTATATGAGCAAGAAGGTTAAATCAAGACAATTTGCAGCCTAGAGGATTTGGATTAGAAACTAGAAGAGGATATGCTATTCTGTGGACAGGTGAGTAAAGGAACACACAGTTTCTTCTCTGGAGATTGTCAGGGCTTGCTTTGAAGTACACAGAGACTGATTAGAACATGAGCCTGAACAGCATCACTTCTTATCTGTTTTAAACTTTCATTTTTCCTAAACCTTTAATTACTGCTTTGTAGTTTTTATCCTACAACTGAAATTTCTGCAAAGAACTGACAATATTTTTTAAATTTTATTTTTTAAGGTGTTTATGTTCCTAACATTTTAGAAGCTCCTTCCTAGAAAAATCTTAGTTAATTATTATGCTAACCTTCTCTTTCCAGGTACATGCTTGAAAGGAATGAAACAGCTACTTATGTTTTTCTTGAAATTGATGGAAGACAGAGAAAATATATAGGCA